GTCAAATAAGGAAAGGAAATCAGAAGAAGCGTATATGGCTAAGGGAAAATCTGATGATGAACCTGTGCTACTAATGGCTTCTGATTCTGATGAAAAATGCTCAGAAGATTGGTGGTATATGGACACTGACTGTTCAAATCACTTAACTTGAAACAAACAATGGCTGAAAGACTTTGACTCCAGAAGGAGAGCAAAGATCAGATGTGTTCACGATAAGTATCTTAATGCAGAAGGTATGGGAGATGCCAGAGTTAGAGTGAAGAATAGGAAAGACATTCTGATCAAAGACGTTTGGTATGTTCCTGGTATTAGAAGCAATCTAATGAGCGTGGGTCAGTTGATTGAGAAAGGTTTCTCAGTTGTTATGAAAAACAATCTCTTGACGTTGTATGATTCCAATCAGAAGTTGATTATGAAGTCTGAACAAGGAAGCAATAGAACATTCAAGGTGAATATAGAAACAACTGAAGCATCGTGCCTTAGTGTAGAAGGCGCTGAAGGTGATAGTAAGCTGTGGCATAAGAGATTGGGGCATTTGAACTATAAAAGCTTAGGGCATCTATGTTCTAAGAAGCTTGTACATGGTATTTCGAAGATTATGAAGCCTGAGAAGTCATGTGAGATATGCATGAAAGGCAAGCAACCCAGATTGCTATTTGCATCAGAAGTAGCCCCCAGAGCGAAGCATGCTCTAGGAGTAGTACATTCTGATGTGTGTGGACCATTTCCAGTACCTTCACTTGGAGGAAACAAATATTTTGTGTCTTTTGTAGATGAGTTCACAAGAATGACATGGGTAACACTCATCAAGTTCAAGCATGGAGTGTTTACTGAGTTCCAGAAGTTCAAAGTGAAGGCTGGGAAGCAGAGTGGTCAGAAGTTGAAGATTATGAGAATGGATGGTGGAGGTGAGTATAACTCTACAGAGTTCCAGAAGTTCTGTGAGGAGAATGGAATAAAACATGAGGGCACTGCTCCATATACTCCTCAACACAACGGTCTTGCTGAAAGAAGAAACATAACTTTGCTTGATATGACCAGAAGTATGTTGATAGAAAAAAAGCTACCTCACGTGTTATGGGAAGAAGCTGTTGCCACATAAACATATATTCTGAACAGGTATCCAACGAAGAAGGTGAAGGGAGCTGTTCCTTTAGAAAAATGAACTGGAGATAAGCAGAGTGTCATTCATTTGAAGGTGTTTGGCTCTGTCTGTTACAAACACGTTCCAGAAGCTAGAAGACAAAAACTGAATGATAGAAGCAAAGTAATGTTGTTGGTGGGGTATCACAGTACAGGTGCGTATAAGCTTTATTGTCCATAAACTAATAAAGTTGAAGTCAGCAGAGATGTTGTGGTGAAAGAGTCTGAAGCATGGGACTAGAACAAGTCTCAATCAGATTCTGGTGTAGTGCCAACACCAGAGTTAGCTTCTGAAGATGTTTTAGAAAGTTCTGAAGATTATGAAGATGAGTCAGAAGGAGATTTTGGCAGTGGATCTGAGTCTGATCCAGATGTTGATCCAGAATCTGGTGGTGATCATAGTTCTGGAAGGAGAAACTCTGAAGGTGGTAACTCTGAAGGTAGTAGTTTTGGTGCAGTTTCAGAACAAGCTCAAAGACCACAGAGAATAAGACAAAAAACAAGAAGGTTTGTAGATTTCGACATGTTGCAGGATAATGAAGTTGATTCTGAAGGAGAAGTCGTTCAGTGTGCCATGTTAGTAGATTCTCAACCAGTGGGCATTGAAGAAGCTCTCAAGAAGAAAGAATGGCTGAATGCCATGAAAGAAGAACTTGAGGCAATAGAAAGGAACAAAATATGGAAATTGACTAAGCTTCCAGATAAGAAAAAAGCCATCAGTGTCAGATGGATTTTTAAGTTGAAGCTTAAGCCAAATGGTTCAATTGGCAAACACAAAGCTAGACTAGTATCTAGAGGTTTTCTTCAGAAACCTGGGCTAGATTACTTTAAGGTGTTTGCGCCTGTAGCTAGGCGTGAAACAATCAGACTGGTGATTGCTTTAGCTGCAAATAGAAATTGGCCTTTGATGCATCTGGATGTGAAGTCTGCATTTCTGAACGGTCCATTACAGGAAGAAGTTTACGTGTCACAACCTCTTGGATTTGTGAAAAAGAATCAGGAAGGGATGGTATACAAGTTGAATAAAGCTCTGTATGGACTGAAGCAAGCGCCCAGAGCTTGAAATCTGAAAATTGATTCGTTTTTCAAGAAGAAGATGTTTCAAAAATGTGAGATGGAATATGGCATTTATGTGCAACACTCTGATAACAATATGATTCTGGTGTGTCTCTATGTTGATGATATTTTGCTAACAGGAAGCTTCCCAGAAGATATAAAGAAGTTCAAAGAAGTTCTGATGAATGAGTTTGAGATGACAGATCTAGGAAATATGACATATTTTCTAGGGATGGAGATTCTGTACTCAAAGAAGGGTATCATTCTCCATCAGTTGAAGTACGAACTAGAACTTCTGAAGAGATTTAAGTTGCAGAATTATAAAGTTGTTGTGACACCATCAGAAACCAATAAAAAATTGGATTTTGACTCTGATGGTGATTCTGTTGATACTACAACCTTCAAACAATTGGTTGGTTCTCTAAGGTATTTATGCAATTGGGTTGGTTAGCTGATTCACGAGTAATCCAAAGTGGTCTCATTTCCAAGCTGCTGCCAGAATTCTGAGATATATCAAGGGAACTCTGAAATATGGAGTGTTGTTTTCTTCTGAAAGAAAGACAGAATCAGAATTAGTAATTATTCTGATTTTGACTGGTGTGGAGACAAAGTGGACAGGAGAAGTACTTTTGGACACTTGTTTAAATTTCTATGAGGTCTCATTTTCTGGAGTTCCAAGAAACAGCCTATAGTGGCTCTGTCAACATGTGAAGCTGAATATATCGCAAGTGTTGTAGCTGCTTGTCAAGTTGTCTGGCTTCTGAATCTCTTGCATGATCTGAAGGTTGAAGTTGAGGAACCTCTGAAGCTGATGATTAATAATAAGTCTGCAATTGATCTTGCCAAGAATCTAGTGTTACATTGAAGAAGCAAACACATTGAGACAAAGTAGCATTTTCTCAGAAGTCAAGTGCAGAAAGGAGTGTTAGAAGTTCTGCAGTGCAACACCCAGAAACAACTAGTAGATCTTCTGACGAAGGCAGTTAAGACAGATCAATTTCTTCACTTGAGAGATGAAATTGGTGTTATTAACTTCTGATAGAAAATCTAAATTAAGGGATTGTATTGGAAAGATAGTTTACTTAATTTCTACAATTCCCGATGCTTATCCTTTAATAGGGTCTTTTGATATTTTCAATATTTAGTATAAATATATCATCCTAGGCTATCAATATTGTACCCTACTTTATCTCCTTTTTTATATATAACAATAGTCTTTTGTTATCATTATTTGTTCATTCTTCTTCTCCCACTCTATTACCTTGCATTAACAAGACCGAGTAATAAATAAAGTTACTCTTGAATTTAAAAAGAAATTATAATTTTTTTAAATAAATCACTTTTTAAAATCTTATGTATTGCGTTGTTGCTATGTGACAACTCACAATTCATTTGTAGTTCAAAGTTCGAACACCGTTAAGATGTAACTACATTTTTAACCAGAGTATTCATATCATACTATTAAAATGCATGACAACGAGCAATTCGCTTATTGGTTGGTTAGAGGATTTGTAATTGGGTTTTCAATAAATAAACAAATAGATAAAATTACAAACACTTCATTTAAATAGAGAAAAATATAAGTGTATTATGTTAATGATGCGATAGAAATATATAAAAAGAGAATAAAGTATTAAATGTTGAAATAAATAGGGATCTACATATTTACGTAATTACTAAATATTAAAAGGGAGAAATTATTTTTTGAACAGTATTTAGTTACTAAAAGTAAAGTAACTAAATAAAATTTAATTACTTTTAATTAATTTTATTGTTGAAAAAAATGAGAAAATGGATGATATATTGATATTATAATTTTTTTTTACACTTTTAACTAATTACGTGATTTTTTAAAAAAGGGTCATGTTAATATTTATTTAAGAGGACATGTTAAAGGTACTCTAATTAAAGATTTTAAATATAATAAAATTATATTTAAAGTTTTAAAAATTATATATATATATATATATATATATATATATATATATATATATATATATATATATATATATATATATATATATATATATATATATATATATATATATATATATATATATATATATATATATATATATATATTTCAAAAAAATATTATTATAAATAATTTTTTAACATTTGTTGTTAAGACAAATATTAACATTTTCTTTAAAAAATGTTATGTCATAAAAAAAACGATATATTTTTATTAAACGACAGTAAAATTTTGTTACATTGAATGCATCTCTTTTAAACTCAAAAATAATTTCTCTATTTATTTTAAAAAAAAAATTAGGGTGTGAGTTGCATGGTAGTGAGGTTTGGGGTGCCTTATAAAGCTTACACGAGGATTCGACTGCTTTTCTTCTCTCTCACTTTGTCAATTCTCTCTGCCATTGAGATTCCTGCAGATTTTCACTCTCTACATAAATACACACCCAGCTGTTAATTGACGTATTGATCAAGACTAGTCTCTTTCTTTGCTTTCAGCGTCAGCTGATTTTCGAGGTCTCCCCTGAGCTGTACTTTTAACCCCTTTCACTCGTTCTATCAGATGCACAGTTTTCGTTATTTTCGTCATTACGCTCCTCAGCCTTTACACTTTTTAGCGCTTTCTCTCTTCCCATTTCTCTGCTTTTTTTCATGTACTACACCTTCGATACGCTTGATTCCTTTTTCATAGGTAAGCTTAGGAATGTGAGATTTCCAATTTATTTGTAGATATAAAAAATGTTAATGTTTTATATCAAGCTGAATTGTGGTGTCTAATATGCAGGAGAAGGAAATTAGCTATTAGCTATTACAGATATTGATATTCAGCCATGGTTGGGTTCCAGAGCGAGAATATGCCCGGGAACAACAAGTATAATGGTGATTATAACAGTTCTCCAGGTCGCGTTGAACGACTTGTGAGAGTAAGAAAATTACTGAAAAGCAGCAAGGCATCATCATTTCCTTTGACTGAATCTCCTGATACTGTTCTTGTTAATAATAACAATAACAATAGTAATAATAATAGTAATCATATTATTAATAATAATAATAATTGTAATAACATGAATAACAATAAACATGTGGTTACTGAATCTTTTGAGCATGACACATGCTTAAAAGAATATAATAACTCTGGTGCTTCCTCTGTTGAACGATTCGTCGAAGGTGCTGCAGCAGCAGCAAAGGCTCTTAGTAATGGATATAAAAGGGAAGATGGAAAGCCTTTTAGACAACGGCTTTTGGTTGTGGCGAATAGACTGCCAGTTTCTGCTGTTAGGAAAGGTGAGGATTCTTGGTCATTAGAGATCAGTGCTGGCGGCTTGGTGAGTGCTCTTTTAGGTACGTGGTGAATGGTGATGGTTTTTTAAGTATCTGTTCTTTCTATTTTTCGGTTTTTGTTGATTATCTGGTTTGAAATTTGCATATGAATTTAACTGTTGTTGGTTTTTTAAGATGGGTTTCGTAGTAAGTTCTGTTGCATTTTGAAATGAATTTAACTGTTGTTGGTTTTTTAAGATGGGTTTCGTAGTAAGTTCTGTTGCATTTTGAAATGAATTTGGCCCATATTTTTAAATTGTTGTTCATAAATGCAATTGTGGCAGCAAAATATAAGTTTTAGAGGTCTCCGCAACGTCATTTTAACTCCAATTATGGCCACATTTACCTGCATTTTACATTTTGCCGCATTATCATTTGGTTTGCAGTGTTACTTTTACTGCAGCTACGACCGCATCTGTAATTTTAAAATCATGATTTGGCCCCAAACTGACAGAGGTTCCTAACGAGACTATGTTTTTTCATAAAGGTGTGAAGGAGTTTGAAGCGAGGTGGATAGGTTGGGCCGGGGTCAATGTGCCAGACGAGGTTGGACAGAAGACACTCACTGAAGCATTGGCTGAAAAGGTACTATATTTTCTCCCTCAAAATGTTAGAAATAACTTCTTCATTTGTCATTGTGGTGTTACATCAGTGAATTTTAGTGTTTTTATTTTTAAAAATTTTCTTTTGCTTGTTACTTGTGTTGCAGAGGTGTATCCCTGTATTTCTTACTGAAGAGATTGTTCATCAGTACTATAATGGCTATTGCAATAACATTTTGTGGCCCCTCTTTCATTATCTTGGACTTCCGCAAGAAGACCGTCTAGCAACAACTCGTGGTTTTCAATCTCAGTTTGAATCGTACCAAGTAGCAAACCAAATGTTTGCTGATGTTGTAAATGAGGTCTATGAAGAGGGAGATATTGTTTGGTGCCATGATTACCATCTTATGTTTCTACCACAATGCTTAAAGAAATTTAACAACAAAATGAAAGTTGGCTGGTTTCTCCATACCCCCTTTCCATCTTCTGAAATTCATAGGACTCTGCCATCTCGCACAGAGCTCCTCCGTGCAGTTCTTGCTGCTGACTTGGTTGGGTAAGTTGCAATTTGACTCTGCATTTTGGCAAAACAAATTTTCTTGCTCTAACTTTATTTTCTATTCATTTGTTACATTAGGGGATATGTTTAATATTGGCATGCTGATTTAGTAATAAGAGCTTTTTATGTTACCCCTATATGGTTTGGGAAAGGGAAATTGTGCATTCATAATATTGAGAGTATTCTTATCTGTCAGTGAGTGGGTTTCTTACATGGGATAAATTCACTGCTTAATCAAGCCATAAATCACTAGTTCAGCTTATGAAATGGCGTTGATTTATCTGACAAAACTACAGTTGACAGAAAACAAATTCCTTTCTACTAGAGATAGAGTCTAGAGATGTACCGGAACTATATTTTGTCTAGCCTAATTATTTACAAATACGTGAGATTTAGGGTATGTTTTATTCAACTTGAAGGAAAAGAAGAGAGGAATTTTAATGGAGGGAAGGGGAGGATTTTTAATGTGTCGTGTTTGGCTCGATGAGGGGAGATATTATAGTGGAGGAGAAAATAAATTTCACTCATGTAATATTCAACGTCATATTAAATTAAAGGTGGTGTAAATCCAAAATTTAAACTAATATTTCCAATTTAGTTCGAAACTCTTTCTTCTCAATTCTTGGGTTCTAAGCTTTGTGATTTCCCTTTATATGTTGTCCTGTATAGTTTAATCACTTTCATTATCTCTTATTGCCATTGTTTCTGACTTGGATAAGTATAATTTTTTGAGCAGTTTTCACACCTATGATTATGCACGACACTTTGTTAGTGCATGTACTCGCATTCTCGGACTTGAGGCCACACCAGAAGGGGTTGAGGATCAAGGGAAAATGACTCGAGTTGCTGCAGTATGTGATCACAATTGTTTTCTAATCAGATTAATACTTTCAAAGATTTTGAAAATAAAATGGCTTAAAACGTTTTGAATGAAACTGTTCTTTTTAGAACGTAAGCAATTAACCTGGGATTAAAATAAGAACTACTTATTTATTTATTTTTCTTGCATGTCAGTTTCCAATTGGTATAGACTCAGAACGATTTATACGGGCACTTGGCTCTTCTGAAGTTCAAGGTCCCATCAAAGACTTACAAGAAAGATTTAAAGGCAGAAAGGTGTTCCTTTTACTCTGTATTAACTGCTTTTGTGGTTAGTAATCTTATTGTATTCTGTTCATGGTTGTCCTAACAATAACACAAAAAACTATTAAGAATTATAAATGGGAAAGTAGGTGATGTTGTCCACCGGATGTAAGTTGGTTCCATTTGAATTAAAGTTAGATTGACAGAAAGGAAAGCAAGAAAAAAAAGACATCAAGGCCAAGAGCACTGTTGCTTGATCATCCTATAAAATATTGTCTTATAAAATATGGGAAAATGCAACGTGACCTTATGTTCTTTCATCCATACACCACACAACTAATATGCACTATGCTATAGTTACTTATCACTATTTTTTTATGAGGCTTTTGCCTTTGACTTATAAGTTATAAATCATTTGATAGAGCCAGTTTAACTTGTTTTGGATTATATTTGCTGCATGTGCATATTTGTGATGTTTACCTGATATGGACTAGTTGCTTGTTGTGTCTTTCTCATATTAATATAACCAAAAAAATTCAGCCTTATCCCACTGCATGAGATTAACTACATGCATCAAACTATTCCTTTATTTCTTTATCAAAAAACCATATTTTTCAATCATTTAGACCATGGTCTTCTCCAATGGAAGTTACTTGTATCATTTTATCCCTACGACTTTTAATCAGATGATAATCTGTTTCATACGCTTTTCTGACGAGAGTCTCTGTCTGTTGATCTTCTCCTCATTAGAGCTTTCACAGCTCCACACTTGCATTTGACAAAAATAAAGATTTATCGACTATTTTCATTTTAATATTATTTATCTAGTTTCACATTGCATTCTTCCAGTAAAATAGGGCATTACTACAGAAGTGGCTTTGTTATAAAGATGGTTTTTCTACAGAAGTTGTCTTTGTGTTTTTTCCTCTGCTGTAAGTCAAATGCTACTTTAATTGGTTCTATCATCTGACCTCCCTTAACCATTTTTATGGCTTGACAGGTAATGTTAGGTGTTGATCGCCTTGATATGATTAAAGGAATTCCTCAAAAACTTCTAGCTTTTGAAAAGTTCTTGGAAGAGAATGTTGATTGGCGAGATAAAGTTGTTCTGCTTCAAATTGCTGTGCCAACAAGAACAGATGTTCCCGAGTGTATGTTCTACTTATATGATTCCATTTCTTTAATTATTCCATCTTCAGTGTAGTAGTAAAATCTAGGATTGTGTTTCAATTTTTCCTTGTGGTTTTGACTTTTGACAACTTGAAGATACGCTCTCTTTTATATTTTGCCGTTTCTTGTTTGTATTACACTATGTTGTTGGACAAAAATAAAGTCTTTTCACACAAGAAAGCGAAAAATAGAAAGAAACAAATCATTTATGAGATCTCTTGTATTCTAAAATAGTGTGTATAGGCTGATATTTGATTGTATTTTCAAGTTCATGTATAAAGATATTTCTTAATGAAAAAAATAGTTTACTAAAAACTGGGTACACACAATCAATATAATGATCTCATAACCATATTAGTGATTTTGTTAGGGGTCTTGAGTTGTTCAGCTTGCTCTCTTTTTTGATTTTTTGTTGAATACTTGCTTTCCTAAAAGCTTAAGCTATTAGGTAGGGGCAAGGATCAAAATCCTAATCACTGTCTTATTAATTTAGGCTGTTTTGTGGAAGCCTAAAAATATTTCATATCTCCAACAACTGTCATGTCACATTTTCTTATTTTTTTTGTATTTCTTGCATATTTACAGATCAAAAGCTTACAAGCCAGGTTCATGAAATTGTTGGACGCATCAATGGCAGATTTGGATCACTGACTGCTGTTCCTATACATCACCTGGTGCGTTTTTATAAAAAATCATCATCTAATATCGTTATAACGATGCTGATTTCTCCATCCTATACCTTACTTATTTACTTTTCTGTCAATGTTAATTAAATATCATGAAATGATCTAATCATTAGTACCGATACATATAGGTTTGTTCCTTTCTATGGTAATATGTGCAGAGTATCTAATAGGTTCTTGAGGAAATGAAAGAAAAAGAATGAAATGCTAATAAAAAAGAATCAATTGAATTTCTGAATTCACAAAACCTATTTCAAACTTCCAAATGCTACATCACCTACTTCATTCTATGTCGTTTATTTATTGGCTTAAAGAATGTGTTCTAAATTAATCTTGGTATATCTGTAGGATCGCACTCTTGACTTTTATGGACTATGTGCTTTGTACGCAGTTACAGGTAAAATTTATGTTCTGTAAGAGTTTTTTTTCCCTTTGAATAATGTATCTTGTGAATGACTTTTGATATTAATTTGAAATTTACCAGTATTTAGTATGTGCAAACATAGCCTGTGTTTTGGATGTCAATTTTTGTGCTTTTCAAAGCATACTTATTCGCCAGAAAAGGAAAATACTTTCTTTGGGGCTCTTGTTGAATAAGTATCTCGGATAGCCATAAGATTTCCTTTTTAGCCTCATTACAAATGTTATTTACGTTTCTCTCTTTTTAATCCCGCATACATGAATTTGTCTTGCACACCAAAGGTCTTTTAAAGTTTGAAACTTGCTTTGTGATGTTTCACTTTTTGAATAGGTGCTCCTATGAACACCTATAATAGTCCTGCTTTATGAACATCTATAATACTCCTGCTTTATGAACATCTATAATACTCTTGCTTTGATCAGTGTGACTTCAAAAAAATGCAATGCATTCTTTGCAAACATTGTTGTTTTTTCTTGGCGTCTAATACATAGATTTGCTATTATTTTTGTATTACTTGTTAACTTGTCAGTATTTCTGCCTCAAGTCTATTAAATCCTATTTTATTCATATTTCCCTGAATTCTCAATTGTCTTTTCAGTGATAAATTTGTTTGTTGCTATATTCAAAAAAGTTGTTGTGAGTTTTCTGCTTATGGCATATTCATTCTCTCTTTCTTATCCAGATGTAGCACTTGTCACGTCTTTGAGGGATGGAATGAATCTTGTCAGTTATGAGTTTGTGGCCTGCCAAGAAAAAAAGAAGGGGGTTCTCATTCTTAGTGAAGTAATTACAACTTATTTGTATACTTATCTTTTATATTAATATCTCTATTCGGTCTATATTGGGCCTTGATTGGCAAATAGTAGTGGGTAGCAGATAAGCTAGTTGATAGTGGATGACTGATAAACTAGTTGGTTTACTATAAACTAACTGATGGGATGATGCACAATTGTTATTTTCGTTGGACATGTATTCTCTTGATCTAGCATCTGACATTTGGTATTCTTGCAGTTCGCTGGTGCTGCTCAATCTCTTGGTGCTGGGGCACTTCTGGTCAACCCCTGGAACATCACAAAAGTTGCTGAAGCAATTTCCAAAGCTCTGAACATGCCATCTGCAGAGAGAGAGAAGCGACACAGGCATAACTTTCATCATGTAACAACACACACTGCACAGGAGTGGGCAGAAACTTTTGTAAGGTGCGCTATTAGTATTCTCAATATCTGCTCTTATATGTTAGAAGTTTTTGATTTATAATGAGGGTGATGCATCTTATTAGAGCCTGTTAAATTTGTACTTGTGATTCATAATTTGGTCTGCAGTTAAGACTCTAAATTGTAACTCTGGAGGTTTTCTTAAATATTAACTATATGGTTCATTTGCTTAACAATGTCCTCTCTTTGATTGTATCTTAAGGCTTCTGTTGTCTAGGGAAAATTTCGGAAAATTATGCAGATACATTTTAGTTAAATATGATGGTTATTTACTTGTAGTGTTGTACTTAAAGGAATAATAGAGAGGCATGTGCATGCCTGATTTTGATTATGAGCCCAAATAGATGCCTTACTTAAAACTTCAAATTTGATCTACTATAGACTATCCTTATCTTTAAATATTTGCAGTGAGCTTAATGATACTGTTGTTGAAGCACAACTGAGGACAAAGCAAGTTCCACCACGGCTCCCAGCTGACAAGGCAATTGAACAATATCTGACGTCAACCAATCGGCTACTTATTTTGGTATGCTGTCTTATCATAAAGGATATAACTTCTTTGAATACTTATTTTTGAGGAAACCTTTTAAACTCTTTGGTTTTCTCCAAGTATTTTAGTACTTGTCTAAATGTCCCTACTATACTTTAGAAAGACAGAAAGACACTGGTTATAAAAAAAACATGCGAACTTGTTGAGAGTGCCACATTTGATGTTGATATAACTTGAAAAGTATTTATAAGCCATGAAGCCCCCGATACTCCGAAACTGCCAAAGTATCGGTGTGTGACACGTATCCAACATCTGTACGTGTCTGATACGTCCCGATACGTATCGAGGAAATATCTGAAAATAAATTTTACTTTTGAAAATGTGGCCGATACATTTTGGATACGTCGTATAAGTGCACGGGATACAGATGGCTCGTCCAGATAGCTGTGCAAGATAAATTTTTCAATAAATTTTTTAAAAATCTTGTTAAACAGAAACTGAAAAGCTTTTGTTATAAAAACTAAAAAGCGTTTGTTAAAAACATAAATAAAACTTGAAACCCAATAAACTGACATGGATCATTTCTTCTTTTCAAAGTGGTGAACTACATTTTCTTTCTTCTTCTCACTTCCATGCAAATCCTCCATGCCGTTCACTTTCATCCTTTCATTCCCAGTGGTCACACCCATGTCCTTTACTTCCAGTGGTCACACCCATGTCCTTCACTTCCAGTGGTCACACCCTTCACTTTTTGTAGTCCCGCCCTTCATTTCCCTCACGGTTCTGCTTTGCTTTCTCTAATTCGCAGCTCTCACAGGTTTTGTTTCTGTACATCCTTTCATCAGACCACAACGTCCTTCACCTTCACACTTACAAGTTTGTCCATTCATCCTTCTGTTTCTCAGTTCCGATTCATCCTTTTAGTTTTTTTGATCTCTTTTGGTATTCTGTCTCATCTTTTCTCTGCATGTTTTTTCCTCTATACTGAGATTCCGTTTCTGCACATCCCTGCATTTCTTACTTTCTTTTTACTCACCTCTGCTGCTTTGTCGTTCTCTTTGATCATTTTCAGTGATGTGAATGTTTATTTATTATCTTTTTTAGTTATGTTTATATATTGTACATTTATATATTCGATATTAAATATATTTTTTATTGAAGTATCTTGGCAATACCTTATCTTGAGTTTTAAAATTTCCCCGTATCTCCGTATTGTTCAAGTATATAGGCTTCATAGTTTATAAGCGGGAGACATCTTTTAATATACAAGCCAGTTTTAAAAAACTGAATTAGATCCAACCCAAATTTTAAGACGTTATCAGAGTTTATCTTAGATCCATTGGGCTAGCCGATATTTGGCCCCTTTGGTCACGTTCCATATGTCTAGTCCGAAGAGTAAAAGGGATGTCTGGACCGTCTTATTCTCTTTTGAGATCCAACTTACCATTCAAAAATTTTTAACTTACTTTTTTGACTCTGTTGTTAACTATGTTCTACTCCTAATTAATCATGAACTCTACTACTTATCATAAATTTGTATTAAAAGCTTATCTCGACATTGATGATATATACACTGTAGGGATTCAATGGAACATTAACTGAACCAGTTGAGAGAAAAGGTGATCAGTTGAAAGAAATGGAACTCTCAGTGCATCCAGAACTGAAACTACCATTGACGAAACTTTGCAGTGACCCAAATACTACAGTTGTCGTGCTTAGTGGAAGTGATAGACAAATTCTAGATGAAGTAATTCTCTAGACATTACTTCCGTCTTTGCGAACTACTCGGTCCATTTTTAACTTATCGTTATTACAGAACTTTAAAGAATACGACACTTGGCTAGCAGCGGAGAATGGAATGTTTTTGAACTCTTCAAATGGAGAATGGATGACCACAATGCCAGAGCAACTGAATATGGAATGGGTTGACAGCGTGAAGGTTCTTATTTGAAGTTTTAATTCTTGGGTTCTGATCGTCCCTTTCCCTTTCCCTTTCATATTTACTTACATTGATGCTCCTGTATTTTCAGCATATTTTTGAGTACTTCACTGAAAGAACACCTCGCTCACATTTTGAAGAAAGGGAAGCTTCACTTGTATGGAACTACAGACATGCAGGTACATAAGTTTTTTCTAACACGACTTGCTTTTTAATCTGCCTATTGCTTCTCCCCAGTTACTAATTCTTTCTCACACGATCATAGATGTTGAGTTTGGAAAACTTCAAGCAAGGGACATGCTACAACATCTTTGCACAGGTCCAATTTCAAATGCATCAGTTGAAGTCGTTCAAGGGAGCCGATCAGTTGAGGTCCGAGCTGCTGGTGTTACAAAGGTTAGACCATTTTTCTAATGACTGAGTTTAGTTCGTTATGTTTTGACATGAAAATTTTCATAATGATTTTTTAAACGTTTGCAATAAAAAAATTTTCATTTCATCAGGGAGCAGCTATTGACCGCATCCTGGGGGAGATAGTTCACTGTAAATCCATGACAACACCTATTGATTATGTTCTCTGTATAGGACATTTTCTGGCGAAGGTGATTTAAATTTTCATTCTATATGTATATGTTTTTTCGCATAACTTCAATATCATGTTTATCAGTCTAACACGAGAAAGTGTTCTTATCAAGCATGATTGCATATATGAAATTCGTAATTGCATTCTTTCCATATAATTCAAGATTGATTAACGCATTCTTGCATATGCATTTGCTTAACATAACTGATCGCAGCAGGATGAAGATATATACGACTTTTTTGAGCCAGAGCCTTCCTGTTTTGGTGCGAGTCTTCAAAGAAGCAAGTTAACAGAAGCAGCTAAGTTTGCTAATGAGAAGGTATCACCTATGAAGATCCCATCGGGTAAAAATGGATTCAAGTCAACAAATCAAAACAAGGGACAACGACCTGTCTCAAATTCACCGAAGAAGACATCTAATATTTTCAGCCGAACAGTGCGGAAGCCAGCTCCCGAAAAGATCACTTGGAATGTCCTTGACCTCAAGAAGGAGAATTACTTCTCATGCGCTGTTGGTAGAACTCAAACAAATGCTCGCTTTACACTTCCGTCACCTGATGAAGTTGCTGAGTTTCTGAAGGAACTTGCTAATGCATCTTCTCATAATAACTGAGTTTCTGAGAGTTATATTGCTTTTGCAATTCTAGCTTCATAACTTGATTCATCCGAGCAATACTGCTTCCTCATGTTGAGAAATAAATAATTTAGCCATTTTTAATCTCGCAATTCCTTGTAATGTAGTCATTTGGTATATTTCCCTAGCCAATAATGTCATAGTTACTTGATGTTGTGGACAAGTAGTTTTGGACGGTCTTGTAAGAAAAAAAAAAGTAGTATTCAATGATCTATTAAAAGAAAGAGTAGTTTAAGTTTTTTACTAAAGTTTTGGTTGGGTTATTTTACATTAGTTTTTTTTCCTCTAAAATGCTAGGTTACTTTTTTTTTGTAAACAACTTAATGGACAACCGTAAAAGTATGATCCCCATCCATCCTTGGATTAGATCGGGTTATTTATAAAAGACCCTCTAGACTAGAAGGTAGGGGTAGAGGTGAGGAAGACAGGCTTTTCCTTAGATTACCCCCTCCCAATGGGTAATATAAGCATGTCTGCACAAATGGCTTATACCATGACTTCACTACCAAATAGAGATCAATACTCGCCACTTCGTCCCTGAACACGATCAAGCATGCCTGAAAATGCCATCAGTGATTGTTATCCTGATTTAAGTATTACATGCAAGTATATATGTTGTGATTGCAACAACTAATAAATATAAGAGTATCATATTTACAGGGAGTGTTGTTATTTAGATTTGATTTTTGTATGAAAACTATTCTTTTGATTTAAGCATGAACAGGGAGAAATAATGATTGGTGTTTATGAGTTCAAGTTCAATTAAAACATATGTCAAAAGTAAGATGAAAAGTAGTGAAAATATATTAAGAGTGATTGAGTTGAGCTATGTTTCATTAATATCATTAGTGTACTCAAATGTTTATGATGTGTGGTGTCGTGACTAGTGAGGTTAAAGTGATCTTGTGGTGTATTTCTACAACATCAAAGCATGTATAAAAAGGACAGGGGAACAAATCTCTAAGTCTCACTTATAACCCTAATATGTGTCTATTAGTATTCTGAAATCCTCAATAGTTACAACTTTTTATCTCTAAGTAAGCTAAGCAAGTGAATATCTCAATCCTACTCATTCAACTATTTTTATAAAGAAAATCATTTGTTGGATCTCACAACAACAAGATGTCATCTACTCCTAAGTTGATCAAGCAAAGAGGTAAACATGTAACCGATTAACATATAATAAAACGAATCACTTAACCACATACCATTTAACATGAAAACACTTTAATATTAACTTCACATTGCTCAAATATAAAAGGTTTAGCTCATAGTGAGCTGAGTACAAGCTACAAACATAGTTCTCAATAGGAAAATCTCTTAAACAATAAATGAAGAAAAAAATATAAACTTAAGAGAGACTTGGAAAATGACTTGAGATGGTTAATCTTCAAGAGATATCTTCATTCGCGCCACTGCTCATCAGTTGTTACATGATTGAGTGAGGAAAGAAACTCTTGCACACTTCACTATCCACGCACTCAACTTCTTGGTGTTTTTCTCTTAGAACAACTAAAATCCCTTTCATTTCTAATTGCTGCTCTATTTATAGACTAAAGATTAGGGTTTGTTTTGCATTGGATCACGGGCCCAATATGAGGAAATCACATCAAGCCCATTCCAAAAAATAGTGCCAACGCATAGCCTAAATTGCTTAACCAACAAGGAACTTGGTACAAGGAGACCATGATGGGAGACTAAGTGTATGGTGGCAGACTGTCACAGCAGGTCCATGCAGCGCATTGTCCTTTGCGCAGTGTACTACTGTACCCGCTTTTGTCCTCTAGAGCCTACACCTTTATACTTTGAATTTGAATTGTTTCTTCCTCTTTTTGAACACAACGTGTTTCCTCCATTTTATATTCCTCCCACACTATCATTATCAGCTAGCTGCTTGCAACAATTATTTATGTTTTCCTCTACATCCTTCTAACTTCTTCAGCTTGTGCTCCATGCAGCAGACCACTGCAGTCTTGCCCCAACTCGACTCTGTTAACTTTTTACTTACAAAACCAAATATTAATAATAAAAAGGGAGCACCTATTATGCTCCAAGTTAAACAAATAAAAACTACTAAAATGTAAGAAATTACAACTATTAAAATAACAAAAAGACCAGTTAATAAAAAACTAAAGGCATGTATTAACTCACAAAAATATGGGTTAACACACCCCCAAACTTAAACCATTACCTGTCCTCAGGCGATGCAACAGGAAAAGACAGACAAATCCAATCCAAGTATTCATCCCCTCTTTATCAAGACCAACTTTTTTCTCAAACTCATATGTTTTCTCAAGGGATTTGTCCCAAAAACATGTATAACTCAGTCCTAAAACACATTCTTGATTGCATATGCTCTTTGGGCCACTCATACTTCCTCTCACGACAAAACTCTTCTGTCAAGGTAACCAGCCTAAATTAAAATATTTATTGCTTCTTCCTATGGTTTACAACTTAATTTTCAGCTCTAGTAGGGGGTTATACTTTTTGTTCTTGAACTTACACTTATGACCACACTTGCATTTATTAAAAAAAAAAATGCTTGCAGTTGTTCCCATCTTTTTCACTAGACAAGACCTCACTTGTGATGAATTCCGCTTGTTACTAATAATGAGAAAAACTATTGTTCCTCCAGGCACAGGCATAAGAACTTATTGAAAATCTACTCTTTTAATTTCAGGCACAAGAGATGTTCCTCCAGTTTCGGGCATATGAACTTATTGAGAAGTGCCTTTGGCAACTTCTATTACACACCTTGGTGTTTTTATTCAAGAAAATGTAATGTTCCCGGAGTATTTCAGTCCTTTTAACAGATGTATCAACCACCCTAACTAAGCCTAACAACTAGTTTATATTCCATACTTAAAAACAATTCAACTTTGTCTACAAGCTGCCTAGTTTCCAGGCTACCAGAGTCACAACAGAGGTTATCAGTAACATAAGATAAATGCAAAAGAAACTCCCCAATTCCTTGTTTATTGTATTTTTAAAATCCCACTAGAATTTCCTTTAAGTCTTTCTAAGTTAGTCTGTTCTAAGGGGGAAATCAATTCAGTCTGTTCCTCTATTTTTATTCTATTGTTTTTAGCATGAAAATGAAATAAAAATCAAAGCTACAAACTACTTAAAACAGAAAAACAATTCACTGAACAAAAGGATGAAACCCCCAACAGAACAACAATTACAAAAACGTTATGATAGCCAACAAAAAAAACTAACATTAAATATGATTGACTGATTTGAGAGAGAAACGAGCAGGGTATCGACACTAGCCGCCACTTACTCCACACTTAAAGTAAGGACAATGTCCTCAATCCTCACTATCAGTAGGTGGAATAAGGTGTGCCAACGACTGCCTTTTCTTATCAGCTAGACTTTAAGTCTGATGCTCTTGCGCACATGATCTTCCTTTTTCTTCTTTCGAGCCTCCTTCTAGGAAGACTCAAGGGTTGACAACTTCTTTCCAACACCTTTTGGTGCTACAGAGGCGACGCCAGGCTTGACATAGACTTTCTTTGGAGGGGTATTTAACTTGGAAGTTGGCTTGGCTGAGGAAACTTTCTTTTTGATTTTCTTGGATGGATGAGGAGTGCTAACCCTTATTGACTTCTTCTTCTCAGGGGTGACTGTGGGAGTCACATCAACACTTCTCTCTTCAGGGAGTTCATCCGATTGCTCCAATTCTTTCGAGCTTTCAGATGAATCTTCCTCCTCCTCAACATCTTCCTTCTTCTCCTCTTCTTTCTCCTTCTCAGCCTTGTCTTTCTCAGTTTCCTTAGCCTCTACTACCACAACCCTAACTTCAGATTTTTCATTATTTTTCTCTTCCTCCTCAGCAGAATTATCCTCAGTCACGTCACTAGGATCCTAAATTTCCTCATCATGAATTTCACCCTTCTTTCCAGTAACTTTAATGTTAACATCTCCACGGTCTCTTCAACAACTTTATCATCTTTCTTTTCAGTTTTCTCCTTTTTACATGCATCAACTCTCATCTCCTTTTTTTTATCCGCCTTCTTCAACATTTTGTTTAAAGTTTCTTCTTCTTCCTCTATCTCAACCATTCCTTTATCAGTCATAGGTACTTCTTCCACCATTATTTATTTTGCTTCTCCTTCGCAAGCGTTTCACCTTCCTTCTTTGCTTTCTTCTTTGGAGGCTTCTCAAGGGAGGCATCGTTAGCTACGCCTGATGTGGACATGCCAGGAACTCGTATCTTACCAGCTTTTAATGGTCTCTTGCCTTGCTTCACTAGCTTCTTTTTCATTTCATTCTTACTCACTTCTTCCTTATTTTCCAACTCTCCTGAGATGTGATCATGAAATGTTGGTGTGAGGTCCTTGTTGTCAACCATTTTACTAACCTTCAACTCCCACTCAAATGTCTCCTTTTGGAACTTAAAAAAGTCCCTTTGGTCCTCCTGCATCTGCTTCAAAATTTTCCATAAACTATCAGTATCGAAGTTGATTTTTGGTCCTGTCGATTCTTGTCCTGCCTCAGCTTACCTCTTCTTTGCTCTAGGCTTCATCATATTTCAAGTTGTTCTTGTCGAATGCTTCTTGAGGGTTGTTGTTCTCATAAGTTTCCTTGGTTTGCACCCTCTTCTTTTTACAAAGCAAAGTAATTAAACAAGGGAAATACAACATCCCTTCTTTCTTTTTGGAGCAGGCTTGAATCTCTTGTAGAATAATTTTTCCAACATTAAAATTTTCTCCAGCAGTAATACAGTACAACAAGGCCATCCTTGTTCTACTAACAATCTCATTGTGAGTTATGGGTTTGAGCGAATGCTTTACAAACTGGTACCATGCCTCAACTTCAGGCCTTAAATCCATCCTTTTCACAGTTTTTTCTCCTCCGGTCTCCACCCAAGCAGTACCTAAGTTATAAAGGAATTGCATGTAGATTTCAAATTCATCCTCATCATCCATGTTCAAAATTTATTGGTAATGGTCTTCAGTGTTTTTCAACTTGAAGAA